TGTGTGTGTGTGTGTGTGTGTGAGATGTGTCATTGCTATAGGGTTTCCATGCAAAAAAGCTCTGGGCTCGGCCCAAATGAGGCTCCAATTTAGCACGTTGGGGCCATCGAGTGGAGGGTGTTTTTGCAGAAGCACCAGCTGCCACAGGAGCCCCAGGGCTGCGTCTTTACGGAAGCGGCCTTGCAGAATCCACTACACCAACCTGGCACCTCAGCCTCTGGGCTTGCCGGCGTTCTGGGAATTGCAGTCCCAACGCATCTGGAAAGGGGGCTTGGTGAAGAAGGCTCCCTAAACCGTGATTAGCAGGCCAAAGCGCTAATGCAAGTTGCCATGCTGAAACAAACACAGATGGCCTGGTTTAGGCCGCATGGCTTGGTTTTGGCCAACTGCTGCTGCAGCTTGTTTGCCTGCAGCTGAAAAATGAATCGCTTAAGAAGCCATCTAGATGGGGCTTTGGGGCAGGCAGGGGCAGAGCCAGCAAGGGGGCACCTGTCTCCTGAGTCTGGAAGTTGATCTGTCCCCGCACGTCCTGGGAGGTGCCAAGGTGGAGGCCGCTGGGGTTGTTCACGGTTGCCAGGACGTGTCTGTCATGGCCGAGGCCTGAGGTCCACTGCACCTGGAAGCAGGGGAGACCAGGCTAAATTGTGATGAACGAATGGGACTGACCACCTTGTTGCTTCCTGGCTGTCAGCACCTTCCCTGGGAGCGGGTGCCTTGAAAATGGCTCGGTTGCTCCTAGATCGCAGGTTCCTTGCCTGCAAAAAGGGCTCCGGGGGACTGCAGAGGGGAGGCAGGGACCCCATGCTTGCCAGGAGGAGGGCAATCCGCCTCTTCCAAGCAGCGTGGACGCTCAGCTGCGCTGGGGGTGGGTGGGCTGGAGGACAAATGGAAGGACTCCTCATGTGGGCAAAGTTTGGGCTGGGAGGTGGGGGCATTTTCCTCCCCTCACCCTGGGGCAGGGGGGGCTCCATGATCCTGGCCTCTGCCTTGGAGTTGCCCTCTTGGCAGGTCTGCTCTGGCTGCGTCCAGGCCCACGTTGGCAGGCAGACTATGAAGGGTCTCAAGAGTCTCCCCTTCTCTTTGCCTGGGGGGGGTTAGGTGTACAAGGGCCCCTCCCCTCCCAGGGTGGGTGGGTCTCTGGGGTCCACTAAGGGAGGACAGATGGACACCAGGCCAGAATCATGCTGGAATAATTTTCTGGCAGTCCAGCTGTTGACAGTTTCTCTGTACTCACAATGGGGTCTGCCAGGAGAGGCTGTTCCTGACCAACCGACGGAGCAGCCGGAGAGGCCAAGGGGGGGGGGGCTGGCACCCACCTCATAGCTGAAGTAGAAGGAGCCGTTTTGATTTGCAAACTGCCAGAGGCATTCGATGCCGCCTGCAGGGATGACAATGGCAAAGTCATAGCGATCCTTCCCGGGCAGGATAGCCTGGCTGTGGGACCCCCTCAGTTGTGCCACCTCTTGGCAGTGGGCAAGTTCCAGCCCCTGCAGCAAGCCCACGATCCCAGCCATCTGGAGCAGGGCAAGCATGCTGGCAAAGGGATGCCAGCTGGCTGTGGAGCTCCGTGGTGGAACTGCAGCCCAGCAGGCTGGATAAGCTAATCATTAACTGACCTGCTCCGGCCCGGCACTTCACTGTGCTGTGCCTGCTGGCTCAGGCGGAGCGACTCAGGGGAGGCTTGGTGCCAGAGGGACCCCTTGGGAAGCTGCGCAGCTGCCAGGGTAGAACGGCCGTCCTTCAGAGGGCGCCGTGCACAGGGCGGCCAGGGACCTTCAGCTGCTGTTGTGGCCAATGCAGCTTCTGCCCTCTTTCCTCCAGGAACGTAAGGAGGTGGGCTTGCATTCCTGCACCCTGAGAAGCACATGAGGTTGAGGGAAGGCCCAGCACCTGCTGGGTCTCACGGGTGAGTTTAAGTTGGCTCTCGGCTGACGGGCAGCAGGAGGGGGCTGAGCTTCATCACACTGGGGCACAGACAGGCGCAGGAAGGTTATTTGCAAGGGCGGTTTTGGCTGTAGTTAGATCCTAGTTCAATTCGTTGAGTTCCAACTGATTTCAAAGGATGGTTCAAAAGCAGAAATTGCTGAGTTAGCTTGATGGCTCTCCATAGAACCGATTTTTTAACAGCTGGAGCTTCCTTCCTTCCACCAGAGTTTTGCTGGAAGAGCTGCGTCCCATCCACCCGGCTTATCTTTCTTTCCTCCTCGTTCTGAACAGAAATACTGTGTGTGTGTGTGTATACACTTGCTTGCTTGCAGCCCCTGGTGCTGAAGGACACATCGCTTTCCCAAGAGAAATGTTTCCCAGCAACTGTGGCAAGATCACAGGGGGGAGGAAAATATGGCTGGGTTTGCATGTGGATTAAGCACGGAGAGGAAATAACTCTGCACTAGCGGGTGGCACTCTTCCTACCACCAGATAAAACCCAGCCTGTAGGAGAGGGACTGGCCCATGCCAGCCCATGGAAGCTTCTCCCAGCTGGGCCCTTGGGAATCCCATGGGAACATGACCGTGTTAACCAGAGCTGAACCCAGGCCTCTCGGACCATGCAAAGTTGGAGTCTCCCCAGGCCCCAGCCACTTTGTCAGCGACTACCTGCCGTGGCTACAGCCCAAGTCCACTCATTAAGGTGCTGGTCTGGGAGGAGGGTGGGGCTGTCCATAAAGGCCTGCTGGCTGTAGACCCTGTTGAAACCTTGAAAGGACCTTGTTCTTGGAAGGGTGCCACACTGCCACATTACTTGGCAATGCTCACCAAGGACTCTGCGGTGCTCTGAATTCCCGAGGTCTTCCGTGTCCTGCTGGTCCTGCGGTAAGGGGACCTTGACTATTTTGCCTTGCACCGAGCGCGCCTTTCCCCTTATCACGTCTCTCCTTGGGAGCCCAGTTTAGGCTCCAGGGTTGGCTGGTTGTTGGGCTGACCGTTTTCCTGTCTGCAAAGTCCCAGCCCTTGCGTCTTCAGCCAGGGGCATCTGGTTCAGTGAATCGTTGGGAGTCTCCAAAGCAGTGCTCAAATAGCCTGCTCTGCGCACAAAGGGGGCTTATGATGTTGGTGGCAAAGGGCAGGGTGGTTAATGGCACATGGACAGAGTTTGAGGCTCCCTGTTACGGCAGCTTTTCGCAGGCAGGTGGGCCCACTTGCACACACTGGATTAGGTCGCAAAAGGACAGACTTAAAACATTCCCAGAATAGAAATTAATTTTACTCAATATCACAGTATTTTAAAAACAAAAAAACATTATTTGGGTCGCCATTAACGCAGACATTGCCAATACTTGGGCCTAAAGAGTGCCTTCTGCTGGAAGATCCAGAGTGCTCTCCCAGTCACGCAAAACACCCTTTTTCAAGCAAGGAGACGAGGATTTCAGCTCATCCAGTTTCAGTAACTGCCAAGAGCTCCCAGAAGATTGCAGTCAGTTTCAGCTGCTAATGAAGTTTTGCCATCTGATCCAAAAGGAAACTCTTCTGCTGGTGAATGACATCATGATGAGAAGGGAAGCCCCAATTCTTCCAGTCCGGCCAGCTGTTACTTAATAAAAGGAAATCAATCCTTCGCACTTGTGGGTTCTTTTGCTGATATGTTTAGGAGCATGCTAATTGTCTGGGAGGATTCATGGTTGGGCAGCCAAAGCCCCTGTGTCATGGATGGATTGCTCTCTGGTCACGTTGTGGTGGTTGGAAGGGGCTCTTTCTTGCAGGATTATGGGGGTGATTCACCATGGGGCATTTCTGCTGCTCACCTATTTCCAGCACACCCACCGTTGGCAAACTGGAAAGACCAGCTTTCTCAGGTTCTTGTTCCAGAGCGACCTTTGCCTGGTCACGGAGCATGCAGCACAGAGGGCTCAAGGGAGTTGTTTTGGGTAGGGTGAGAACTGATGAAGGTCAACAGGGTTTTGGAAGGTCTTTGTAATAATTGATGGTGAACCAAGAAGACTGTGTATGAGAAGTCGTGTTAATTTTGACTGATGGCACTTTTAGCAATAATGGGGATCCTACCACACCTGCTTGTCCTGTGTGGCTAAATCAGTTTCATCTTGAGGAGGGGGACAGGATCCTTGGATGAGAGTCCAGTGTACGACTTCCTTGGCAAGATTAAAAATATTGTTTGGTAAAAAAAACAACTTTGTTTTAGCTAGCTAAAACAGCTTCCTCAGGAGAAAAGCTATCTAAGTTTTATGTTGATGCTATGTAGCATCATGATGCCTTTCCCTTATGGAGGCTGTAACAAAGTTGTTGGGTTTTTTTACCAAATAATATTTTTTACTTTTAACTTTTATTTTCATCTTGCTTTTGATTATGTTGGCATGCAACTGTTTATTTTACAGTGCTTAATTTGCTGTTGACTGACATCCTGACCGCTGTAAAACTGCTGGGAGTTGTTCAGTATAAACATTTTATTAAATAAATAACACACTTAAGGCACACTGCTAGCCCCTGCCCTCAAGTTCAGTCAAGTCCCAGCTTCTTCATCGTTCGCCAACGGTCCTTGATCATCACAGGTGTACGATCCTTAAAAGGATATGCTTGATAAATAACTTTCCAGTTCCCCTCCCCAAACTTCTCCACACCTGCCTTGATCCAGGCAGTCTCTTCTGGAGACCACTTCTGCAAAAGAAACGACACAGGGACCCTCATGCATAAGCAAGAACGGCCCATGGGTAACCTTTATTTGCCACCTGTTTCTACTGAAAAACCAGTGGCTCTCAGCAACAGCTCTCGCCCCACAGAATCCTGCTGCTAATGAGTCAACTCCCCCCGAGAGGGAATGGGAGGCTCTGGCCCTACTTCAGAGTCCTGTGTGTCCCGCGTAGCACTTGCCCTCCCTCCCATTCGCAGGGAAATTGTGAAAAAGATGAAAATGAAAAAAAAAAGTTTCCTAGGCACTTTATATAGCCATAATAGTTTTCATTTATATTGGCTCAGACATCAATAGTCAAGCCCTTACTTTGGCTGCACGAAGAAGATACCAGCCTTGAGGGAGGCTGAAAAGGCTCAGAAACAGTAGTGGCCACAGCAGAGCACCACCTAAGCAGCAATTTCCCACATTCCTGCCTTGTCAATGGCAATCACTGTCTAGAGTGTATAATTATTTTTAGAGAGAAAAGTAATTATCAATTTGTCTTTTTTTCTTTTTTTTAAAGAAAGTCTATGCTTGGAATTGGTTACATTACCTTCTTCCTAGTACTGGAAGGGTTGGTGCCAATTGACCCCTCTGACTCTGAAAGGAAAGAAAAAAAAATTAGCAGCCTGGCACGCTGCAGAGGTTGGAAGGCACAAATCTTGCCTGGGGATTTTTTCCTTTCTGCCATGTGCAGCCACTTGGTGCTTCTGCCTTCCTGGCTCAGAGCTCAGGTGATTTTTGCCACAACAACACTGCACCAGAAATGCAAGCAAAGGGGACCAAGATAAACATTTCCTCAAGGCTTACTGGCACAGTTTAGACTACATTCAGCAATACACAAGAAATACCCACCCAAGGGCTTTGCCCAAGTTGCCACCTAGCACCCCCCAGAAATCCACCTTTTTAAAGCGATGCATTCTCCTTCGGGAGGAAACCTTTGGTCTCACTCCGGGAAAAACTCATGGCCACCATGCTTGACCCAGTTCCATGCCATGGTAGTGTGCTGTGAGCCAGACCCTCACCCAGCCTGGAAACAAGCAGCGGGGGCAGCTACAAGCAGCCTTTCCCAGCCTTCACGATGACCAAGCCCTCCCAGCAGTTTTTTTTCCTGTCCGCCAGACCAATAAGCTGCCATTTGTCCATTTTGCCCTGGCGGCTTTGTGCAATCTGGGACAGGTGCTCCCTTCCAGCTGTAAAGAGGCTGCTACCTTTGATGGGCCTCCTAGCGCCCTTCTCAGGCTCGAGCTGCCCCCTTCTGCAGCCTCAGTTCCTCCAAGCTCCTGCCCCCCGAAGGGCCCTTGGCTTTTTGGCCGCCCTGCTCGCTGAGAGGAAGTCAGGGTGGGGCACCAAGGACGAGACCAAGCCCCCACTTACGCTGCTCTGCGAAGAACTCATCCTCGTCACTCCAGGCTGCCTTCTCCTCCTGCGGAACCGAAGGGGTAGCTCCTGGCTTCGCCATCCTAAAGGCAACAAAGAACCCGTTACAGGCGGGCCCGTCTCGCTCCCTCTGACAGCATCAGACATGCTTCAGCCACAGAAGCGCAGGCCAGCGAATGTTCAGGGGATCTGTGCGTTCAGCAGTGAATTCCTTCAACAACCCTGGTCGTCACCCAGAGGGGAATACTCCTGCTGGAGCACATCCCTCCCACTTCAGAGAAACAGCGATGGCCAAACCCTGCAAATTCCCCAGGAGATCCAAAAGAACTTGCAGCTCGGTGCTGGTACTTCCAAGGCCTAAGCTCTGCCAGCTTTGCAGACGCAGACCCGAAGGCAGCCCTTGTTCTGTACCTGGGAACTGCGGGGGACGCACTTGGGGTGGGCTCTCGGCACTTCGCTGGTTGGGCCCCCAAAGTCAAAGGTGGCTTTGTGGGCAAGATGTGCCTGGCAGGAGAACAGTTCCTCTCTGTCCCCAAAAGCATGTTGCTTATAGAGGGCAAGGATCTTGTCTTCACCAGGCTGAAGCTGACGTGGGCATCTCCTTTGTCCTTCTTCTGGCGCTTGGCTCTAGGGGACCCAGAAGGCGAGCGTGGCTTGGAGCCAGTCCAGTCCGTCTTGTCTAGTTGCAAGAACGCCTCCTCGGGGTCTGGGGCACCAGAAAGGATCTTGAAGGCTTCTCTCAGCACAGAGAGCCCGTAGGAAGCTGCCTTCGGGCTGGAGCCCCTGCGAAACAGAGGAACCTCAGAAATGCATTCCAGAAGCCCTGCCAATTTCTATTCAACTCTCGGTCAAGGAGGCCTCTCTAAATGGAGTCACTGCCGGGCTCCCCTTGTCAGGGGAGAATTACAAAGGCCAGGGAAGAGTCAAGCAAAAATTCTGCCAAGAACATTTCTACTTGCGTAAAAGGAGAGAGTTGCTCTGCAGTGAGATGGGCGGTGACAAATTTGAAATACAAATAAATAAATAAAATCTTCTCTAGGGAAAGGGAAAGGCTTGCTTGTCACCCAGAGTAAATCACCAGGTGCCGTTTCACGCAGACGCACTCAGGAAGGCCTCGGATGACTTTATCTCAGTGACCCCAAACAGGCTTAGCAACAGAAGCACCATGGCCATTCAGGGAGTTCAGCATTCTTCCCCCAGTCTTGCACCTCAAGTTCCTTCCTCCTCCAGCCAATGAAACCCATGGAGGGCAGAGACTGGGGAAGGCCAAATGCAATTTGGTGTTCGTTTAAATCCTGCCATTAAGGAGGCTGTCCTTTGGATGCCACGTAATTCTCTCCTCTCTTTGTTACAACATGCAATTCTAAAGATTCAATTGATTGCTTTAAATTAAAGCTACTTAGAATGTGGCTTAAATCACCAAAAAAAAAAAAAAAGACCCCGTTTTAAACGTCTGCTCATATTTATGGAGTTTCTGTATTTCCTGAGCAAATATGCACAGCTGTTCTAACATTCCTTTGCCCAACATCTGACTTACTGATCTGAGTCCTTGGAAGCAGCAGACACGGGGGCAATAGCAGTGGCTCCACCCACACGTGGCGATGCTTTGGTGCGCACGCTGGCTGCCTCCACACATTCTAAAATGGTCTCTCCACTTGTACCCAGTGCTGGCAAAGGTTTTGCTGCTGTTTCTCTGGTTCCTGCACCACACGCTGGCCTTTCTTCTGCCCCTGCCTCTGACCCACTTTCTGGGGCTTTGCTGAGCTTTTCCACAGTCTCTCCATCTGCTGTGCCAGATGTCTGGGGGGTCTCTTGTGCAGCCTCTGAAACAGCCATTTTCTCCTTGCTAGCTGCTCCCACGGGGCTATTCTTGGAATCCATCTTATCAGTGGAATCCTTTCTTGCCATCTTAAATAAAAAGCATGAGCAGTCACTGTTAGGATTTTTCTTCATGTGGTACAGAATGTAGACACGAAGACTGTACTTGTTTTTCCCACACAAAACTATTTTATTGTACAAAATTAAACTCCTAACTTATTCTACTAAGTTTACAACTATTTCTATTCTTACATTTCTACCTCTATGCTCTATTTCTAGGTTCCTATTCCTATACTTGTGGCACCATGTTTTCTTATCTCAACTATTTCTTAGCTCTTTAAATCTTTCCTCTTCTCCCCAAGTCTTCAGCTCTTGCACGTGAAAACCCTTTTTGCTCCTTTATAGACTTGCGAATGGGCTTTTCTCGCCTCCCCACCAGCACCCCCCCCGTCCTCTGTTTCTGGAGCTGGGGTGTGGAGCTCTGCCTCTGGGCTGTTGCGGGCAGTGGGCTTGCAGACTCTGATCAGGCTCTTTTCCACCCCATCTCTCTGCTCTGCCTCTCGGTGGTCTTGCAGCTCCAGGAACTGAAGTCTTTGCTTACTGTCTGGAGACTGCTGATGAGGTCTTGCCTTTGGGTCGGAGTTTCTCTGCTGTCGTCACCCCTTCCTTGGCACACCCAGGCACATGCTTGTTTTCAGCTCCCTTTTTATAAAACAAACTCTCCCATTAAGAAGAGGGCGGGGCTGTTTTAACCCTCCTCCCCAGGTAGCACCAAGGAGGGAAAAAATGCCTGGTCGCTCCAGGGGGTGAATTCACTCTTCTACAGTCACCCCAAAGTTTCTCTCCAAAGGTAAACTTTCAGTTAGAGAATCTTTTTCTGCCCACAGCGTAGCTCTAACACACAACACCCTTCTGGAAAAAGCTTTTGTGTTAAGCATAAGATGTTGGACATGTATCCTTGATCACAGTGGCTAAATTGAGTCACTGCTGTGGCCGCTGAAGAAACAGCCCAGCGCATCTCGTTAAGGCCAAACATGGCCCCCAAGGCCAGCACTCACCACTAAGAGAAATGGCTCAGAATCATCCAAGTAATGCTCGAAGAAGAGAAGAATCCTCTGCTGGAAAGCTTTGTAGGAGAAATCCCAGATGGTTGGATGAGAGGAGTTTTTCTCTTGGATGATGCGATACAATGCTGTCCTCATGTGCTAGGTAAGGAAAAGAAAAAGAGATTGGAACATTTGCAAGGGCCGGGAAGGGGGAGCTGACTGCCAATCAGATGGAATCCCGAACGCTCAGAAACAGCCAGAGGCACACGTGGCAGCCAAATGCCTGCGCAGGGGCTCTCCTTTGCCCCTTGAGAGAAGACGGGGATCCCTTCTCAGGGATCTGAGAAAGCCACTGGCCTCGGGAGAAAAGGAAGGACATGTCACTGGGACATATCCAAAATGTTCACCTGGCTGCTTGGGTCCCTTGACATGTGTCTCTTTAAGATTTTGCTGGCATGTTCATATTCTTTGTTCTTAACACAGGTGATAACTGCCTGAAGCAAAAAACAAAACAGAACAGAACAGAACAAAAATGCAAGCATACATTTTGTGTATTTCTCAATAAAGTGTTTTCTGGATCTGTGGCCCCCAACTAAGCCCCTTCTCTGATCCTGGAGCTCAGCGATGGAGAAGAAAGTGGAGACTGAGCCCATGGCATCTCTTCAGCTTCCATTTTAGGAGTCTTCCTCTAAACATCCAAGTCCTGTTCCCTTTGGTGGTTTTTGGTAGTTGATTTTTGTCAGCTGAGAGCAGCTGGCCTTCCTAATCTTTTCTCAAAGTGACAGAGTATTTGTGGCAATTAAATCTATGCAGAGCAAGTCAGTAACATTTCCTAAGCCAGCACTTTTGTAAATAAAGGCACCAGTTGTTTTTGAACTTAGAAGAAAGGGAAAGAGGAAACAGTTGGTTTTCAAGCGGAGCCCTGTTAATTCTTCCCAACAAGGAATTGATTTTGGAACAATAACTTTCTAAAACAGTTTCTCCCAGTGTGGCCCCCTCCTGCTAAGGGAGGCTGAGCTTAAAAAGAGAGTGACCATCATGACCTTTGAAATTAGTGTCTACAGGAGATGAAATGGTCATCCTTACAGCCTCCTTTATTCTTTTCATTATTTCCTCCATTAGTTTCACATCAATGTGGCATTCCTTCTCCAACTTCTCTAGAAGGACAAGCACAGTCTCAAGAGGTGTGAGCCCAGTTTCTGTATCAATGGTCCAATCTAAAGTATAAAAAAATAAAGCCTTGTCACCATTAAACTATGATATCTCAGTGCAGATATAAACATATCTATATGCTTGGATAAATGGAATGTACATTTTAGAAGCACAGATGCATGCTTCAATTACTTTATGAATAATGGCAGAAGAACCCAACTTCAAAGAATAAAACATATAATCCTGTAATTGAAAGGGACCTCTTAACCCACTGTGTTCAATCTCCTGCTCAATGCAGAAATCCACGGGAGGCGGCTGTCCAGCCCCCTCCTGAGCACGCCTGGCAAAGAGGAACTACCACCTTCCTCAGACGCTGGTTATAATTTCAAGCTATTCTCACTGTTACGGAGAACTTCCTAACATTAGGCTGGAATCTGCTTTTCTGTCCACTTAATCCAATTGTTCCAAGTCTTGTCTTCTAGGTCTTTGCTACTGTGTCTCCTACATCCTGTCTTCTAAGGCAAAACACTTCCAGATTTTTAAATCCGTTTTCATGAGACGTAGTTTCCAGTCCCCTGCTCTTATCCCTTTTTAAACGGGCTGCCAGCGCTGGTCACAATACGCAAGGCGGTTTAGCCGAAGCAGAACTCTTGGTTCCTGCGCTTTAGTAACCGTGTTCCTATCGGCGTGGGCAAAATTACAGAAAAGCAAAACGCACCTAGGTCCCGCAGAGTAACGCACCCCGGCCAAACGTCCCAGGGAGCGAGGAAAGATGGGCTCTGGCGCGCGCCTCACCTTCTTCCAGCCTGGACAGAATCTGGATAATCCGCAGCTGCAGCAGGATCGGCTCCTCCAAGGCCACCGGCCGCGCGACCACAGCTGCGGGACAAGGCAGACGCGGTGAGGCTTCCGGAGCACGGCGGCGCGGCGCTGCGCTTGCCCAGGGCCGGCCCTGCCG